ATTCAAATAGGCAACTGCCTTGATTGATTGAGAGAATAAATTCTGTCCATAGTAACCCAGGTGCAGAATTCCACATTGATAATGTACAAAGTCTTTCTATTGGTTAATACTGTTCATTCATTCCTTTACCTTTATTTATCTGTTTCTTTGCTTCTGCCAATGTAACGTGATGTAAGAGCAATAACGGCATCATTCAGAATAACCAAGGCAAAGGCAATGCGAAAAGAAGCAAGGAGCATGTACCTCTTTCCTCGGTCTTCCTCACTTGTGATGCCGTTTGTGTTGTGATATCATTGCGCTGTGCCTTTTCCTGGGCCCGTCCAGCCAGTGACATGAGGCAAAGGCAGGGAGACTCCCAGCATGATGACATCACCAGGGGAGATGGAAGGCTGCTGGCAAGAAGGTACGTCCTCTGCACACATGCAGAAAGTTCGAGGTTCAGCTCCATTTTTCAAAAAAAGGATTAAGTAGCATGGACTGGCTGGCACACACTAGACACTGAAGTTCAGCACATCTGGACTGCACCAGTCTGGAGAAGGCTGAAGTAGGTGGTACCCACGCATTGTTTGTGCCTTGAACCTGGAGAGTCCTTGCCCCCAAGAAACAGGCAATGCGGTGCCAGGCAGACAAATCATTTCTCGTTTCATGAGCAGCTTCCTATGACTTATCACATCAGTAATAAAGAGTAAATGTTACAGGGAAGAACGAACAAAGAGATGCGAAGGAATAGCAGCTCTCTACAACTGACTTATGAATGTTTGCCCTGAGCAACATGTTGAAATTGAATTCACAGAGGTGGTCTTAGTTTGGTTTCACTGGATTTTTTTAATTACCCATCAGAAAGGCTCATGTGATCCAGAATGTGTTGGGCAGAAAAAGAACAGTGCAAAAGACTGGGCGAGCAGTATTCTTATTATCTTCAAAGACTGGGTAAGCCATATTCATAACGTGCCTGCTGGCTATGATGACTTTTGGCAACCTTCAGGTTCAGAGGCAACTTGCCACTGAGAATCAGCCACTGGAGGAACAGCAGCGGAGCTGCTGCCCTCATGCCTTTCTCAGGGGCTGCCCGAGGCATCTGGTTGGTCACTGTCAGAAACGGGCTGGCCTGAGCAGGGATCCCCTTATGTTCTTCAGAAAGTTGCTGTATGCTATCAAACTTTGGTGCACCACCACAGTTATTTTACTATGGATTGGGCACAAATACATCTACTCTCCTTCAACCTGCTTCCAAAATGGAGAAAAAAACCTTGAACGGCTCGAACCTAGGACAAGAGAAGTGCTCTAAACCACAACATTTTGTTGTAAGGCCCCACTTGTCAATTATACAGCCATGCGTTTCTGTATATACTGTGTACTCCCAGTACCTAAGAACTGCAAAGGTGTGATGCAGCACAGGGATATGTTGCCAAGGTAAGAGGATGGAAGCACCTTCATCACTGGTGATCCATCAGAGTGAGACGGCCTGACCATGAGACTGAATTCATTTTCATAGACTCGGTTCCAGGAGATGATTTCTCAGGCTCACTAGCAATACATGGGGGAAAGACTTTGTTAACAAGAACACAGCAAAAGATTCGCTGGGCGTCTTGTTGCTGGCAAGGTCATGAAACTTGATGACTTTCAGTTGTACCATTCCTTGCCCATCCAGAGGTAGTAAATGGGGAAAATTACAACTGCACCTTGGTCCTAGATCTTTATAGGTATTGGTCAGAGGCACTTCCCTGCAACAAGGAGACTGCCAAATTTTGCTACAAGCAGAGTCTATGCTGGAACATCTCTTCCTCTGACTAAGGTAGAATGGATCCCCAAATGAAAATGTGACTTACTGGACTCCAGTCCAGCAGCATTGCGTTAAATACTGGCAAGCTCTCAGGCTGCTCTACAGCTGTACGCACACATATTAAGCTCTTGCTCTGTTAGATGATCAACAACATCATTGACATGACATGACAGGGACTCTGCAAATATGCACTCTGCACATCTGCAGAGGACTCCAAGCAGTCACTGATGGGGCCAGCCAGCCCTACTATGAGGCATAGAGAGATGGCCACCTTGGGCTGCGCTTTTTGGGTGTCAAGACAGGAGAGCAGAATGTTAGATCATTCGCACGTTTACAGTAGCGTTTTTACCTCCAGGGAGAGGCACTTGTGAGAGACTCTGGCTCAGGTGCCAAAATAAATCGGGCAAGCACTGGATACTGTGCAACTTAAGTAGGGAAGGGGGTGTCATTGCCTATTCTGCCAAAGGCAGCAAAAGGTCTTGGGCCGGTATCGGTCACTGACCTTATCAAGCATGCCTTTCACACGTTGCAGTAGGCCCTGAACTCTCTCGTATTCTGGAATGTGACCCAAGCAACCCATCTCTACCTTAAAAGGTTTGATAACAGAGATGTTCTACAACAGTTTGGTTTGAGCATTAGGTGCTATTTTCCCATTAGTGCTAATGGGAAATGATAATTATTAGTGATAATGGCAGTCAAACAGTGCCGTTATATTCAGTGATAATAGTTGCTACAGTGGTGTACACAGTCCTTGGATGGGAGTTACAATCACCAGTGGAAAACCACCAGGATCAAAACTATGGACAAAATGGTAAAATATGTGAAGCTGCACACAGAAATTGATCCAACCTGCTGACACAAGGGGAGTTCTACTCAATATTGTCTGGGATGGCCTCTCCCAATTTGGTGCCCTCCAGATGTGTTGGACTACAACTCCCATAATCCCATATTTCTGAACAGTGATGGTCATCAAGAGAAACTCTGTGGCCAGGTTGGAACTCCAGGATTAAAGTTCTGCTCCCTTCATGTAGATGGATGCAGTATAAGGCATTTTCATGTTTTCTCATATTGTCTATCCTAAGCAGTCCAGGACTGTGTTACAAACTTGGTGTCCTTGTTGCCTTATTTTTTCCTTCCATCTAGTATTTTGGGATTCCTGTCATTTGGTGGAGGACAACATCCTGAGAATGAAGAAATGGTCCCAGTTGTCTTACGGGAAAAATCACACACACACAGACACACACACACACACACAAAACCCTGCTCCCTTTTCTTGGCTACATTTAGTGCATCACACCTACAGTTCCTTCCTAATTTTTGTCTAAAGCAAGATGTCAAGGTAGATTTAGAAGTTCCTGTTCAGGTAAAACATCCAACCAATTCTGAGGAAAGCAAAATGGCATTGGATCAGAGTAGCAATATTTCTCAGCAGGCTGGCAAAGATTTCTAATCATACCTAGCTCATCCTTTTTGGCTGGGGTGGGAAATCAGACTTGCATTCCATCTCATCATTCTTCTGGATTTGTTTCTGTCACTTTCTAAAGCCCTTGTATGGGGTGGGACATCTCTTTTAGTTCAACATCAGAACAGGACTAGTAAGATGGCCTTTAGTGGTCCAACACTTGTTTAAAACACTGCAAACTTATAAACCTCTTCATCAGACCTGTATAAATGTTCAGAGCAAGAGTAAAAAGCCAAAAGCAGATCTTGAAATCTCTGTCTCTCCCTGAAGGGAAGAGGAGACAATCTGATTCCAGTTCATTTTGTTGACCCAAAGACTTCTGATGGTTCCCTTAACTTATAGCGATCTCTCTTGCTTGTTTTTGCTTTGCAGATTGCTCTAATGTTTATGAAAATGGAAATCAATAAAATCTAGGGGTGGTACATCAACCGGGGCAGGTTAGCGTCGAACCCATTTCTAGCTGTGAGGATTGCTTATAAGTCTTCATGTTGAACCAATGGAAGCCCTCCCTCCATCTTACCCCCTAAGGCCACCCAGAAATTAGTTATGTCATTCTCCTCTTCTTAATGCGAGAGAGGCAATGGCTTTAGTAACCCACAGTGATTGGTTCACTAGTCTGAGGAAGAATTCAGAGCATAGCTTCTAATGCCTTACCAATGCGACATCTGGGACAACACTGGAGATGGCATTTGGCCTGATCTATAGCATCACAGTGATTCATAATTCTCCCCCATTAAGGAATGCCATTTGCACTGTTTCTTTCTGCTTTGCTTTGGCCAGTTCTGCCCTCCAGTATGGCTTATCACCGCTTTCAACTCATGCTGTTTGGTTTAGGATGCCACTAGTCTTGATCAGCCCCCCGATGAGAACAATGGAACCCAGCTTGATGCTGTCCACTTGAAGGACAGGGATGCACTTGAGCAAGAAAAGGACTGTGGAGACCAAGGGTAGTCTTGATGGACTCACGAGTGCATGGATGGAAATGTGGACGGTTCTCCTCTTGGCTCCACCCAGAAACTTCAAAGTGTGATCTTCACAGTGTCAGTTTTGACAACCACAAATCCTGTCCTTCCCTCCTCCATGCCCCCCACCCCGAGATGCTCCAGGAGGCTCTCCCAAAACAGGTCTCCATTGCACCCCCTTCACACCATAGATCCTCTTGCTCTGCACCCCAAATCCATCCTCTTTGGCGTTCTTCAAGTCCACGGTCAGCCATTGCAACGCGTTTATCCAGGCTACCTTTTTACTTGTATTTCTTTCAAGAAATGGCTCAGGGGACACGGCGCTTTAAAGGGGAAGAGCTGGTGACTGACGTGTGGAAAGACAATTCACATAGATGGGGATGGAGAGGCACAGAGCAGGGGAGTCGCAGTCAGAGGCATCTGTGAGAGAGAGGCCAAACTAGGCATTGACTACACGTCGTTCTTCTTCCTTGCATTTCTGCAGAACCAGCAAAAAGCTGTCAGTCCAAGAGATTAAAAAAAAAGCCCGAAGACAAAAATCCACTCTAGTTGCCTTCCTCCACTTCCTTTGTTTCAGCATCTTACTGTATGCCACCAGTAAGAGGTATTAGGTCAAAATACTGGGGAGGAAAAACACACACGGACAAGTCAGTGCATGCCAGGATTGTTCCAGTGTTCCCAGAAAAGAGGGGACAGGGAAGGAACAAGCCCCATTTTTCCTTCACATGTTTGCTCCCAAGAGGCACCAGGGGTCACGGGGGGCTCCCAGAGCACTTCCACCGGGCTCCCAGCTTTACACTGGTGAACTAGCGGTGGATTCGCTGTAGAGGCTTTCCACAATGTCCCCCCTCTGGATTTTACGCAAGGCCGAATAAAGGGCATCCATGGTGGCGCTGTCCTTGCTGGACCAGTCGGAAAGCAGTGCGCGGACTGGGTACTCCTCCTGGGTGAAGGAGTCTATGTGGTCTTCCTTGTAGCCCAGCTCCCCAGCCAAGTGGCGCCAGGTCTCCTCCGTGGAGCCATTCAGCAGCTTTTCGACTTCCTCCCGCTTGATGGGGGGCAGACTGGTATAAAGATTCCCATCTCCTTTAAGGCCTGCATGGGGGGTGGGGGGAAGGGTACCAAAGGGAGGAGAACGCGTCAGAACCAGGGAATGACATGCACTCATCTGAACCAGCCCAGTTTAGAGACTACAGAAGTCAGAATCTGGCCAAAGGGTGGGTGCCCGCACCCAGAATCCTTGGGCACCGGCTGATGCCCACTCAGGACCGAGACTGTTCAGTCTACCTGCTGCTTCATCCTCCTCTCACCACGAGACTTTTCACAGAGGTGGGCGGCTGGAAGCCATGTCAAATTTCCTGCAATGTCCTATAGCCCTGGCATGACACTGAAAATTGGATAATTGATATAGGTGCCCACCGCTGCCAACAAGCCACAGGGAGAGGGAAAGCAGGGAGGTCAAGCAGTGACTGCTTTCTGCTGTGGGCCTCACAAACCTGCAGCTGGCCCTGCCAAGTCAGAACTAGGGGTGGATCGGCCTAATTTCAGTCCATGCTGTGCAATAATAAGTGTGCTTCCATTTCTGCACTTAAAGAAAATTCTCAGGAAGCATTCACAATTCCCCACACCTGCATTCACAAGTGTACACTTATGCACACGTGTGCACTTCTGGAAATGTGCATCTGTACAAAACTCCCCAAATCCTGCTTTTTCACACTTTAGCTTATAGAAGGAGATATACGTTTTCAATTGGGGAAAATCTACATTAAAAATAAAGATTTTTCCCAATTGGAAAAAGAAGACCCTTATATTTAGGAACGCAAGCAAGTGTCCCCCTCCCTCAGTGGGCCTCCCTCCCCCCCTCCTCCTCCTCACTGTTGTTGCTGTCCAACCACCTCCGGCACCCCCTTGGCCCAACAGGCACCAAATCCCAGACTGAGGGAGAGAGGGTAGGAGAGAGGGATATGCTTTCTCCTTGCTCCTCCTGTTGTCTTTTTAAACCCCAGTATTAATTAGTATTCAGCATCTTCTATTTGCACACAAATGCCTCTAAAGTAACGCATATAAGAGTCATTGACTGAAATATAACGCATTTGTAAAAATGGCACGGTATGATTCTGCCTTAATTCTTCCTGGGTATTTGAATGCAGGTCCCAACCCAACTGCTACCTTCAAGGCACTGTTTGAGTGACTACATATGTTTGTCTAATGATACAACTTGCCCTCCTGCCATCTGTGCAGAAATCCATCTGCTTGGCATGAAAACTGATCTTGATTTGCAGAGGAAGCCATAGGAGAGATAAAGCTTTGGTTCTGAGGGTTTTATTTGGCCATTATTTGGATTTACAGGTCCTATCATTCCAGTTCCAGAATCTAAACACTTTGGATATCTTCCATATAGCCTGAAGTGCCTGATCCTGCCTAATCTTGGAAGCTAAGCAGGTTTGGGCCTGGTTGAAATCTGGATGGGTGACTTAAGTGTTGTGAACTGTCCAGAGAGCTTCAGCTACAGGCAGTATAAAGAATAATATAAGTATCTAACATGAATATTTTGAAACCAGATGGCGTACAGGCACATGGATGGGTTACCCTGTGGTTGCAAATTCTGCTGGCCAAAACTTTACATTCCGAGTCTGAAACCTGACACCAAGCCCAGCCTGGTCATGCAATGCTTCCCTCACTTTGGAAGCCAAGACGCAATTCCCCATGCTTTCGATTGGCTAGGGAGTCTGCAGGGAGATGTGAGAGAAGGTTTGGTCTTTTCCCCCTGTCATATTTTGCTTGGTTCACCTGGCACCTGTCTTTGAAGGTACTGCTTCACATGCAGCAGCCTGTACATGCCTGTTCTCTGCCTGGGGCACACTGAGGGTTGGATTTTGTGGCTGATCTGTGGGAAAGGGGAAGGGACAGGTGGGATCCTGCAGCTAGCTGTGCCTTGCAGCGCGGGGATTGACTAAAAGGCCCCCTGACATCTGCCCACACTGCCTGTCTGTGTCAAGAGCAGCCGCTTTCCCTGAACTGGCTCCTCCCTGCTTCTCCTCCACCCAATCCAGCTTCAGCACAGCCGGCCCCCTTGCCTTGCACCGATGCAGTTTGGGTCTGTGGCTGTTGATCGTGGAGGCTTTGGCTGTCGACTGAAATGCCACTGTCACTGTGAAGCTTTTCTCCTTCCGGCGAAGGCGTCTGGTTGACAGGGCGGTTGTTGGCACCTTGCTTGTTCTGCTTGCAGCTGTTCCACCTAGAGGCAAAGTGGTTAACAGCTGAGGTGAATAGGTGCAGCCCACTCCTTTCTTTCTGAAGGTGCACTAGGAACTTGGCACTGTTACCGGTGGTAGATTCCTTCCTCTGGATCATGCTGCTTTGGGCATGATGAAGCCCTGCCTTCCCAGGGCTTGCCCAGGCAGAACTCGGGGCAGGGGCCGTTTGGCCAGTCCAGACATGAGGCTCTTTCCTTCTGCATGGCTCCACAGCTATGGCTCACTGGGATCAGCGCGTGGTGTGCTGTCCACACAGCTGGCTGCACTCACCTGCATGGGGCCATTTCTGCATTTTTCTAGGGGCTGTTGAGGAGCACTTGCTCAGTCTCAAGTGTGACCTGTAACATCTCCAGGGAGGGCTGGGAGAGACTCCTGCCTGAAACCCTGGAGAGATGCCGCCAGTCAGTGGCTGGATTCAGACAACACAATAACCAACCCTCAGTGGTCGAGGGGGTGTTGAGTGGGTTGCTGTTGAATGATGGGTTATTCTGTCTGATAACCCAGCTTCTGGTTAACCACGAACAGCTCCTGAAGGCAACCCATGCTTACGAACTGTGGGTTGCTCGCTATGGTTCGTTATCTCTGTGGGATGCAGGCGACATGATAAGCCGTGTTTCAGTTACAGCCAACAGTGTGGCAACAAGCCACAAACAGCAAATGCTTAGCGTCTGAGTCTGGGTTATCAAGCTGTATGGACCCAGTCAGTGTGAACGATACTGGGCCAGGTGGGCCAAGGATCTTATGCAGTATGTACAGCAGTTCCCTGTGTCTCTAAGAGCTGGTCCTCTCCTCCTGAACCAGGAGGACAAGAAGTTGTCTTGTGGATGCATCCCCTGGGCTGTGTCTTAATCCCATATGGGCAACATAATTCCAGGCTATCTACAAATCTGAAATTCAATACAAAGGTAGCCCAGATCGGATGGAAATGTTCACTCCAGATCTGAAGTAGGCAGAGCACTTGGGGAGATAACCTCGGATGCTGCCCTCCACCAGGTGGGACCTCGTCCTCGCCTCTCTCCTCAGTGCCCATCTGTTTGCCCTGCCCACGTGGGTAGAACTTGCACGGCCACCAGAAGAGGGCTCGGCAAGCGCTCCTTCTTTCCATCACTCTTGTCACTATTTGCACGCTTGGAGGGGTACAGGGAGCAGCAGCAACAGCAGAGGAGGAGGAGCAAGACAAGAGAAGTCTGGGGGCAAGCAGTGGGCCCCGATGAACTGAGGGGTCCTAGCTGATGCCTGTCTGCAAATGGGACATTTTCACATCAAATAACCAAGACACAGGGCATGAGCATTATTGGAAACAGAGCCCAACATTCCAGCTAAAAATAAGCCATAAGAAGAGGGGCTGGATTCGGCCTGTCCTGCTTTTGTGCCTTTCACAACAGCTTGAGTAATGAAAGCTAGCCAGTGAAGCTTCTGATGATGATCTGCCTGTTCTGTGGATCTGAGTATTTGTTAAGGCCTGTTATCAGGGGCCTCTTAAAAGGTGGAGATCTGAGAGTCCAAGTGCCCCCAAGATGGCACATGGTGCCGTTCCACTCTCTTTGCATGTTTGAATCAGACTTAGATTTGGCAAAGGGAGAAGCACTTCCAGTTAGGGTGGACGTGTGTCCTGCTTTGCAGAGGGCACAACTCTGTTTGAAGGGCTGGCAGAGGACTGTCCTCTCTTTGAAGGTGACCTCTGTTTTAAAGGCCATTGAGTTCACGGCTGGCTTAAAGGAAGCAAGCATCCAAAGGAATTGCTGGGCCTTGAAGTTGCTCATCAACAGATGCTGGACAGCAGCCTGGAAAAACCCACAGGTGGTCACCTGGCCACAATGCTTCCCAGAATGGGAGCATGGGCTGTATTTCTATTTAAATCAGATACAGCACATCCTGCCACAATGTACCTGCCCAGGCCCTTGTCTAGGTTAGGGATATGTGAGGAATCCAAGGAGGGAGTAAAAGTCCAATGGACTTTCATGATTCAGACCCCAGATTCCAGTTTGCTTGCCCTGCCCTGGTACCACCTCGCTTTGATGTGAGTCAAGCCAGATTGTGGACTCCCATCTCTAAGAAAGACTGTGATTTGTGCATTTTTAAACTGCTAAGGAAATTTTGCATAAATAAGCATCTGAAAACCATTTGGCTTCAGCGCAATTTGTGCAAATCAGCCAATTCTGCATAATTCTGTAGTTTCTGGGTGCTTATTTTGCACAAAATTCATTAGCAGTTTAAAACATACAAATCACAAACCTTCTTAGAGACAAAAATCCATTTAAAACCCTGACTCAGCCTGTTTCTGACCATTGCAACAGAAGCAGGCAGAAAATCCATCCAGCTCAAACAAGCCAGACTTCCCTGCTTCGGTACATCCCTAGTCTGGATGCTAGCTGATGACCAATAACACCAGAGCCCTGCTCATTTCCTCTTGCAGTTCTTTATTTTTCTACCAGACCTGGACATGAAAACAGTCCTTCAAGCAGAAGGCAATCCTCTGTGAAGGTGGGCACATGGGCCACCCTAGCCTCTGGGAAGGGAAAGGTGGAAGTAGCAGCAGTCTGCAAGATTGGGATGTGCGCAGCATCTGTCTTTGATCTGCTGCATCTTTGCCGCACCTATTGCCGTCTTCCTTCTAACTCTCGGTGGCCTGCCTTACCTCTTGAACGCGATGTACGCCACCAGCCCCACAATCACAGCAGCCAAGATGGAGCAATACACGGGGATGAGGTTGTCCGTTGTGCCACTTCGGATGACAGGCTGGGAGCTGCCCAGGATCGTGGTGGCTGTTCCGGCCACAGTGCTCCCGAAGGCATCCAAGGCATCCGGATCATTCGTGATGGGAAAGAGACTCTCTGAATCTCCCGAGCGAAAATCTGCAATGGTAAGGAAACGCAGCAGTGACTGAACGGCTGATGTGAAAAATTCCCCAATCCATAGCCAGGGAATGCCTTGGGAATGCCACCCAGATCTGTGCATCAAATCATGCATGAGTTTTCAGGATCCCTGGATGTTTTCGTCAGGCAAGATGTTGCAAGAAGCAAGTGGAGGAGGATGGGGAGGTTGACTTATTGTTGATGCCTTGAAGTCTGCATGACCAGAGTCGTAAGAGGAACAGATGCAGACGTAAAACAAATGTAAGGGTAGGCCGCCTTTGGGAGCCAATGGGTTCATCTGCAAATTGCAAAACTGCCCCGGGCGCTCACACAATGTGGCTAGCGTGGGCAGGGTGGCTAGTCCCACAGGACAAGTATGGCACAGACCTGGGGCCAGAGCGCCCGCATGCTGAACTCCCGTGAACCCGGTCTCGCCACCCACAGAAACCAACTCCTCATGGTATTCCAGTTCACAATAGACTGTGTATCTGTGGATCCCCAGATGTGGAAGATTTGACTGTTACATATTATATTGCCTAATATAATGTCAGTTATATACTGACATTAGGAAATATTATTTAGAAGTCTTTCTTGCTTCCAGGGTTTCTTGCTTCCAGGAACAAATTGTCGTATTACAAAAATATTGCCTTCTTTGTGGTAAAGGCTGCCAGATACAGGGAGAAGTTTGTGGAATAGGTTACAGCAAATTCTTAAGAAGGTTCAGACTGCATGATTGTAGCATGGAAACCTTACCACTGCCACTGGGATTGGCTTACTCTATTTATCTAAATCTTAGTAATTTTAACTTGTTTTAACTGATTTTTATATATTACTTTAAAAGAATTCTATGAATTGTGGCAAGATTTTTTTTCTTTTAAACAGATTATATATGCTTGCTTTAATGCTTGCTTTAATTCTGCCATGGTCTAAGTATTTGTACATTGTACAATAAATGAAAACTCCATACTATTACTCAGAACAACTGAAGTGACTGATCCTGCCTAATCTTGGAAGCTAGGCAGGATTGGGCCTGGTGGAAAGCTGGATGGCTGACTTGAGACCTGCAATAAGCAGGTGGTTGGACCTGATGGCCTGCTAGGACCCACCCAACTGTATGATTCTTTTTGCGCTGCTCAGCATGGCATGCCAGCCAACACATTCCCCTCAGCTCTTTTCCTCTTTCACTCTGAATCACCTCCTATACATATGCCCCCTCCAAAAATTTATTGGTATTTTAAACACAACATGCAAGAACAAGGCACCAAGAAAGGTGCCCATTGTCAGAGTAGACTTAATCTGGTGTCTTGTGTATTATTTTGCCTAATGATGTATCTGGAGCTTGCAAAGCACATCCATTTTTCTTTTTCCACTTGGTTGATCCTAATAATGGCAGTGCCTGAGAGAAGTCTTGGGAATCAGCACAGTTCACTTTGTTTGATGTGTGAAAATGTCGATCATGTTGGCTGAACCCAGCCAAGATAACAAGCCAAGACTTGTTAACCACAAACAACCCCTGAAGGTAACCCATAGTTCATTGCTGAGTTGTCCATTCTGGATTGTCCACCATTGTTTGTTATCTCAGCTGGGTTCAGACAACACAATATTCTACATTTCAACAACAACCCATGATTCAGCGATAACTCCCCCCAGTCCATACTCAACCCTTGAGTGTGGGTTCTTGTGCTGTTTGAACTGCGGAAGAGAATTGGGCGACCCTGGCAAATGCAGTGAGCTGTGATGTGTGTGCAGGGAGGTGACTCTCAGACACCTGGGCACTGGCACCTTTGTTGGCCAGAGTCCTATCTTGCACACCTGGTCCCACTCTATTATTTTTTTGAAACCCCATTATTGGTTTTTAATCCAGCTACACAAACACATCCACATTAGGGTTATACAATGTAGGAGTCCAAAACTTGTAAATAAAGATAAGTAACTAAATCAATGGGGCACCAGAATTATTTGTCTTGCTGGTAGTTCAAATTCGATTAGATTTATTTATTTATTAATTTGCTTTATGCCCCACCTTTTTTCTTACAAAGAACTCAAAGTGGCTTACATAAAACTCCTCCTCAATCTTATCCCCACAACAACAACCCTGTGAAGTAGGTTGGGCTGAGAATCTGTGACTGGTGCAAAGGCACCCAGCTGGATCTGTGGTTGAGCAAGGGATTAGAACCCAGATGGCCTGAGTCCCAAACCTGAGCTCTTAACCCCTTGGGGACTGAAGGTGTGAAAGGAGCCAGGCTCCTTTTAAGGGAGTGGCCTTAACTGTTGCACACATTCAAACCTCAACAGAGTTCTGGAGCATCATTTTTGGTGGAAAGGTGGGTTATGTGTCAAATAAATAAATAAATAAATAAATGCATACATTGCTGAGACTCATACTAGTGGAGCAAACTAGCAACTGTTGGAGCGGACTGGGGGTTGAGGGGGGGGGTAGGGAGGCAAAGGTACCATGGTCAACATCAGTGACTGCGTCAGTGGCATTGGAATCCATTGGGGCTGTGGTTGTCCATCGTGGATGAAGAGCTGTCCAGGGGGGAAAAAAGAAGGATTTAGGAATGGAGAGTAAGACATATTTATGCAAAGTATGGACCTAAGCAAAGGACATCATCCCACTGGTGCCTGTAAGGTGGCCAAGTGCCTTAATTATGGAGGACAGTCCTCTATTTGAAAAGCAACCTTCTTTGCTCACTGCCTGGTCTGTGTGTCATTGAAAGATAAAGAATCCTAAGAATGAAGAGCAGGCATTTTGAAGTTGTCCATCATCAGCAGTCAGTCCCTGGAGACCAGGTGCACAAATTACTTGCTTCTATATTAACATACCCACATGTGTATATAAATTCCAATATGCATATTTAATGCAAATCTATGCCCCCTTTCTCTCTTTTTTGGGAGGCATTTCCACATTTTTGGCAATGTGTTAGTGGCCACTTTAGCTCCGTGTTGATTCCAACCAAAAGATAGAATAATAAATAAACAAGCAAATGAGAGAAAGTGCATGGGACACCTGGGGAACCTGGAATGCTTAGTCTGGGTACCTGCATTCACATACCTGCTTCTGCACAGCTTGTTTGGTGGCCTTGGGCAAGTCACTCTCTGCAGGCCAAACTACATCAATGCCAGCTGGTCTGCAACTGATCCTCTGATACACCTTTTTCTTTCTTTGAACAGAAAGGTCACCTCGGGGGAACTATCAATTTGGAACATTTCAAGTCTGAAATTGCATTTGGAATGGAAGGGGGTTTCGTCAGCATTCACACGCTTTAGATTTATTGGCCTCACTTGTTTGCTTTGAGTTTTACAGGTTTGAGGTATGATGTCTCTTGAGCTATTAGTATCCAAATACTGATTCAAGGTATCTATTAAGCAGATACTTATATCATTGCATTCCACTAATTAAATACGATAGCATGCCAGATGCCAAATACTGTTGACTATGATAAGCCAATGCCTGTCCAGTGAGTCGCTTGGGAGTCCTGGGTCCTTTGGAAGCTTATCACATACTCCTTGAGGAGAAGATCAGCCAGGACTAACCCAAGTCATTGTATGAACTAAGGCAGTGCGGCAAATGTTTACTCCCCAAAATCTAAGCCAGGGTGCCCAAGGTTGGGTGGCCACTTACAGATTGCCAGAAAGAGGACAGGAGAGGACAATCATAGGCAAAAGCATCTCATGTACTGATTCATATAGATGTAATTTTGGAAATAATTATTATAATTTAAGTAGAACTATAGGACTACAATTAGGGACGTGCAGATTTGTTAAGCCCGTTCCTTCTGTTTTTCACAGACTGTGAGGCGTCTTTTTTCCCATCATCTGCCCACTGACAGAATCAGAATTTTCTTTTTCAGGGATGTGTGAAAATGTCATTCTACTGTGCATTTGTGCAAAGTTCAAATTTGTGCAAATCCTCCCTCAAAGGGGAAAAAAACCTGCTCCACATGTCTGCAGAATTAGCATGAGTGGGGAAAAGACTGAAGAATATACAGGTCTGATGATAGAAATGTGAATCTGTCACAGGTTTCTCCAACATCCCTATGGCACATCTGGCCATAGTGCAGAAAATCATGACTGAGAGAGCTGAGTGCACACCGATTCAGGTGCTCACTGTGGATGGGACAACAGTATTTTGGATTCTTTAAATGGTGGTTGGAGAAGACAACCATTCAAATAGGAAGACAGTCCTCTTCGAAAGGGGACACAAGATCACCCTCAGGCCAATGTTCTTTAGACCTCTCAGGAGGAAAATCTCACAAGTACCTTTCCCCTTTCTTGAGAATAAAAATATAATTATGTTCATCATCATCCATTAAAGAATGAATTATTGGATCCCTTTCATGACACAAGGAACCAGCTGCCTCACTTTGTCTAATAGCAGGACTAGCCCTGAGCAAGCTTCCCTGAATGTCACAAGGGAATGATGGATTGTGAGGCCCAACAGAATCTAACAAGTCCCAGAATCTTCTAGAATGTGTCCCAGTATCCCCTGCAATCTTGCAGGACTTCCTTGGCTGGCTAGTCAACATGGAAAATGTTCTTTGAAGGGGCAAAGTTTGAAAACCACAGTGGTGTTACCCCTTATTTCTAAAGAACAAAAATAAAGCATTTCAGTTGCCAAATAATGTCATATATTCACTGTCAGACATAAAAAAATTGCCATGTGTCAAATAAGGAAGTTAAACTTTTGAAAACAAATAAGCAAACAACATGGAAGCACCCAGAGGATAGCCAGAGAAGATCAGCATTTGCGAAGGAGACTTCTGAAGCAAATCAGCTTCACCTCTCAGTTAATGGCATTTGGTCACATTCCTTTCTTGTTACCCTCGTGTCCTTTCCCCCTTCCTTTGCTTTCCATGCAACATCTTCACAACTTGGTCCAAATACAGATGTTAAACGGCTCAAGGCAGTGTCCCATCTTTTGCATATGTTGCTGGCCAAAGCACCATGGGCACGGATGGCACCATATAGAATAGCCATATAGAATGGTGAGTGACAATGCTGGCTGAGGATAATGGGATACATTCTAGAAGTAGTAAAATGCATCCGAACAGTATCAGCTAAGGGGAAGAGTAATTTAAATCGATGCTCATTGTGAGCATTGCTGGTGCCATTTGCAGTTCCACACACACACTCACACACCCCTCCATCACCACTGCTCTGCACGGACGCTTTGGCAAGCTGTTGTTATTTCCGGCAGCTGAGAATATGTGCTTTGTTTGTTTGTTTGCTTGTTTGTTTCTGAAAATGGAAGCCTGGCTATTCATTGCAATCCTGGATCTTCTGGCGCATAACATGACCGTTGTGGGAAACATCTGCGCTGGACACTTTTTTCATTCAGGAGGACAATGAACCACACAGAGCAGGCGATACTCTTCTCTGCACACATCTTCCCATTCCCTCAAAGTTTCCCATCCAACTCATCTGACACATCCCTGAGTAGCTTTACAAGCTTTGGCAGTGCCTGTGGGAACAGCTGTTCTTTCTGCAATCCAAGCCCTTTTCCACCTGGATCACAGTTGCAACACAGCAGTGCTTACTCATCTTCAAGGGATACTATTCAGCAATGGTATATATTCTATCTATTGGCACAAGGGAATTCCAGGAGTTCAAGGGTCTTGGGGCATCCATATGTTCCTTCCAGCCTCAGATATTTCCCATGCTTGTTCAATTGCATGCTGAAAAACCATAGCAATTAACCACACCCTGATTTGTGCTCCATTTCCAGGGGCAGTAGTACTAAATTTGTTACTAACTTTATGAATATATTCGTCCTGATGTTTTGTAGTTCACTCCATCTTGACTACTAAGATTAATGAAATTCCCTATTATATATCCCACTACTATGTTGGAGGGACAAGGCCTTTTCAGTGGTGGCACCCTGTGTATAGAAGACACTCTTGAAAAAGAAAAGAAGCCAAACAGACTCTCCCCTTTCAGGAGATTTGAGGGAAAGGTGGGGGGCACTGAGAAGGGTTAGTTCAACATTTAAAATCAATGGGATCATATTGCCATGTGGAGATATTCCCCTTCCCTTTTGGTGCATATACATTTGCCCCTTTTCAGTGCTTTTCAATCAACAACGCAGCATTTCACTCCTGGCAACTTTGTGCAAATTGTTCACAATGCAACTTTGCTTTGTCACTTCCCATCTGGGTCACATACTTTATTTTGCTGCTCCCTTTGATAGCTGAAACATGCAAGGAAATTGATCAAGACAAACTACACATATTTGACAGCTATGAAAGCACACTTGCAAAAGACTGATGATCATAAGAACAATAATTTTTAAAAATTACAAACACATTTGTACAATTTTCTGGGCTTGCCAAAATATTGTACAAAGTGCAACTGTCACTACAAAAGAGCATTAGTGGAGGAGCTGTCACTGTTGGCAGCAGGGTGAGATTGAGAATAGGGTTTAGCTGAGTCTATGGAATCCAGATGATACAACAACCCACCACGTATCATGAAAACCCTGGAACAAGCCGGTGTGCCTTCTTGTCTGAAAACAAGACATGCTGCAGGAAGTGGTCAAGGTTTAGCTGATGCAACAATCCACCATGGCTAGTTAGCCATGATGGGTTGCACTGTCCTGCAAAACAGATAATTTTCCTTGTTGGGCTTAGACAGTAAGTAAAGCTGTCCTCTTGCATCCAGTTTTCAGTGTTCAGTGCTTCAAGTTTAAAGCAGTTGGCAAATATTGGATGATTTTGTTCCTTTCTTCCCTGGATTTTATGTGTGGTTTTAATGCTGTTTGTCCTGAGCATAATAATAAATAACCAAATATAAGAGAAGATGCTAACTTAATTTCACCATTGTCCATTTAAAAACCTTTCATTCATAATAATTATAGTAGCATTTATTTAGCACTTTTGTGTGGTAAAATGGTTACTTAGGGTAGGCACTTAAGCATGGCTGAAAACTAGGAAATGTATCACCACACACAGAGTTGTGTATGTGGTGTGGATGATCATTTATATGTGCAGAAGCAAATTTAGAAATAATTATTGTGTTTTAAATAACAGTACAATACCTCTCTTGATAATGGATCTGCATAGTCAGCTGACTGGGTGCCGAGTGATGTTGTGTAACTCTTTATCTTGCACCTGGGCTTGGACAGGGCAACCCTCCAAAATGAGGGCAGCCTCAAATTTGCTGACAGCCCTTCAAATAGAGGACCGCCTCTGTAACAGTGGACACATCACTACCCTAGTCCAATTCAGTGAACCTCTGTTATTCAGACCAGGAATGATCTGTGTGCCTGTATGCTCTGGCTTTGCTCCTTCCAGCAAACAGGAAGTAATTATAGTTTCCTAAACCGTCGTCTCCTGTGATTTCCAAAGGGGAGAAACGTGATTTAAGGACTGCATTCCAATCAGGGCACAAAACAAGAATACAGAAGTACAATCTTAAGGAACAGATAGCTTTGCTAAACAGGGCTGGCCCTATAATCATGTGGTTTTGTGTGCCAGCAGCCGGCAGCAGAGCTGGCGGAGTGGCATACGGTGGCATTCCCACCATCTCCAGCGAGTGCTCCAGAGAGACCCAGCAGCCCCTCTGCCAGCATCGCATTTGCCACAGTGAGGGGGCAACCCACTGGATTAAAATCTGGGGGAGAGGGAGGGCCTGCAGCGGCGGTGGCACAACTTTCTGCTTGCTTCAGCGGCAGAAGCACTTGCGCCAACCCCATTGCTGAAGCTGGGTGCGCAGAGGGTCTACTTCATCAGGCAGTGATTGTCACATCGCAATATGCCCTCTGTGCCAGAAACCCACAATGTTGTATATGGGAGGCTGGCAAGTCTTCAGTGGAGAGGCTGTGGCTTGCCCAAGGCCACTCAGGATGTTTGTTCCTGAGGTTAAACAAGGACCCGTTCAAAGCCCACCCTAGATCAGTTCTGTATCATTTACATCCCTGTCCAATGTGATTTAAGACAGGAATGGGCAGAAGGTGGCTCTCCAGATGTTCTGGACTTCCATTCCAAGAAACCTCTTCCAACATGGCCAATGTCCAGGACTGCAAGGAAAGTTACTGTTTATTTATCCCACCTTTCCCCCAGCTCTTGGCGAGGAACCCAAGGGGATTCACAGGATCCTCTTCCTCTCTATGCTACCGTCACAACAACCCTGTCATTCATTCTCAGTTAGGTCAAGGATTAATGACTGGACCAAGTCACCCCATGAACTTCATGACCGAGCCGAGAAGCCATTTCTGCATGTTGGCTTGTTAGAGGCCTGGAAAGGTCGTGTGTGGTGGATGAAGGAGGCAGCAGAGTTTGGCTATGATTTGGGGTGGAGCTAACAAATAGAGTCCCCCTCCCCTTCCCCATCTTTGTATGCATGCGGTCTGATGGCGACCCATGGCCACCTGAGGACCTGCTACGGCTCTGCTCCTCCTCTGTGTTGTCAGCATCAGTTAGACTGTGAAGCAGCCAGCCCCGTTCTGCATCCGTTTGGTTCGGCATTATATGAGATGACTTCCTCCCGCTCCTGTAAATGGGCAGATATGGAAGGTGCACTCCTGTGCATCCTCAGAATGCACTTAGACATCGAAATCCAGCCAGAGCTGCAATAATTGATAATTGACCCTTTCCATGTACATATATTAAAGTTCTACAGATGTTTAGAATTCAGATGTCTGAATTCCTTGTCCTGCATGATCTCTTCAACCCCTTGAAATTTGTCCTTTCTGCCCAACAAAGATTGAGACTTAATATAGCAACAAGTCTGTCTGTCTGTGAACTAGGAATTCCTCATCCAAATCTTACATCGTCCATGTGAACCTGCTGGGTGGCCTTGGGCAACCAAATGTGTCTCAAGGCACAATCCTATGCAAATTTAGGCAGGAAATGGGGCCTGCAGCTCCCAGTATGCCCAAACCAGTACAACTGGCTATGGAAAGCTGGGAGTTGTAGGCCTTCTCTCTGTCCTATTTCATAAGATTGCCCCTTCCGTTTCGGATGTGCAAAAGGGAGGCAGCAATGCTGGTCCACCTTACAAGAGCATAATTAGGATTTCTCGGACAATCTGTGCAAAATGCCACGGCTGCCAGGTGCCTCTTTGGGGGACCAGAGGAGAGGCGGTGGATGTACTGCCTGTTTGGAGCATGGATGCAGCTTGCTTGCGCTCCTGTGCTCCTCCCAAAAGAAGCCAGGCTTTGGTAGCACTGCTCTGGGAACTTCCCACTGCTCGGCACAACATCCTATGACTGACGCTTCCTAATTAACATGTAGCATTCACAGGTGAGGGCCAGCTGTCTGCATGCAAGAGGTTACCTCTGCACCGAGCATCCGATGTGGCAGTGCACTCCTTGACCGTGATCTCGTCCTCCTCGCACACAGTGCAGGGGAAACAGGGGTCCACGTGGTTGGCATCGTCCGAGTAAGTCCCGCCAGGGCATTTCTCACACCAGGTGTCCTGATTTTCCCCACACGGGTACACGAGGCCATAGCCCACTTCGCAGATTTTGCACTCTTGGCACGCGTTGCTCGCCTCGTCCCGGTAGTAGCCGTAGATGCACTTGCAGACAGTGTTGTCCGACTCCACGCAGGGTGCCAACATGCTCTCCAGGCCCACGCACTCCTTGCAGGGCTTGCAGGGCTCCGTGGCGCTCACCGTGTCCGAGTAGCTGATGCCTGCAGCACCCAGGGGGAAGGAACAGGAGTGAGCGCTGGGACAGAGAGCAGGGAGAGCCCACTAACCTCTGTGCGCGTGTGCAGCCATGCTCCTGCACACACGTGTCGGCTGCTGTATGCATCCGCGGCAATTGGGCTACTTCTTTAGCTGATGTTTGAGGCAGAGAAGTGGCCTTAGCAGGCCCTAAGGCAAAAACCAGTCTAGCCCGAGAAACATCTCAGCTCACCAACATTCAACCAATGGCACAGGCAGACTGGAATATTGGTCCAAGCAAGTGGGGAAGGAGCGACTGCTTCTTCGCCCCGGCATTGGGCTTGGCCACGTACCCTCTTTGACAGAGGATCATCCGGCACTTGAAGAGGTGCAAGACCTGCAGTCCTCCAGACATTGCTGGGCTGCAGTCGCCATCAGCTCTCTCCAGCAAGACCAGTGGTTGGGAATGAAGACGGTGGTGGCCCAACAGCATCTGGAGGACTGCATTTTCCCTCCCCCAATATATCTTCTGCCTGGTCCAATCTGGTTTCAGGTTTCAGGTTTCAGTACCCTGGGCCTTGAATTGCCCATCAGTGATTGCACAGGCTGGACCAGAGGCTGAGCGAGGCTCACAAGTCTCCTGGTCCCAGTCATTCCTCTGAACGGTATTTCTATTTAAGTTACATCCACTGGGTTGAGTTCGGGCTTGCTCATACTCAGAAGTGACCCATTAAAAGCAATGGACAGTTGGTCACAATTTAATCCCATTGTTTTCAATGGATCTACTCAAAGTATGGTTAGATATAGGCTCAACTCATTATTTCTAAAGTCGCTTCCATGCACCTGAAGATTGTATGCAGATCTGTGCCCTCTCTCTCGGCAATCATTTTCTCTTTTTTCACAATGTGTAAGTGGACATCCTACCCAGCAATTTTTGGTATAACCCCAGATCATTCCAGTTTTGTGCAAACAAGTCTGCGCAGAGCTTCCCAGACTCACCGTGAGACCAAAGCATGATATCGCAGAAGTGGGGTGCCTGTCATGCTCTAAACTGGCACTCTCATGCTCTTTTAACATCACACCCGGGGGAGGGGCTGGTGAAACTCTAGAGCTAGCTCTTTAATTTTGTCATTTTTGCTTGCCCAAATGAAGGTTCTGGGACATTTCCCCCCATTTTGATTTTTTTCCCCTAATAAGCCAAGAATGCTGTAGGCATGTTTTATTTTTTTAGCTTTTTTTAGGGTGGGGGGACTGCACCATCCAACATATATGGGGATTGTAATCTTTGAAAATATTCCTTATTTATTTAGCAAAGTTAAGGATCCATAAGAAATTATTCCAGACCAATAAAAACAAAACAGAAGGGGCAGTAATAAAAAAGGGAAATCCTTCAATAACCCCAACAGCAGACTGTTGGCACTGTCCTGCAGTCACGGGGCAGCTCTCTCGAAGCTTCATGGGTGCAGAGGGAACTCCATGGACAGAGAAGGAAGGAGGACCTGCCATGGGAAATTCCATTACCTCATCAGAATGGCGGAAAGCTTTGCTTCCACTGCTCCCTGGAGTCAGAACATCCATGGTAGCACAGGCTGAAAAGAGACCTGCAGGGTGGGGGCTGGAGATGGGTCCCAGGAGGTTTTGGAGCCCCTGGATCCAAAATCCTCTCATTCCTACAGTAGGCTCTTGACAAAGGGGTGCAGGGGAGGTACGTGAGCCCTGGAGCTGACATTGTTACTTTCCCTTTATGGAGAGGGATAATGCAAAAAAGTTCTGTGTGGCTGAGAACAAGCTTTAAAAGGGGTGCAGGGGTAGGGGGGATACTCAACACAGACCTTCAGCACAAGCCCAGCCACTGGATCTTGTCCTTCTTTTCTAAAGATGGCTCTGCCCACTTGCACGCACTCCTGTGCCCACTTATCAAGAATGAAGCCCTTGGTGCCTGGGAGAATGAATGGTGGTTGCCAAAGGGAGAGCAAATTAGGTCCCGGGGGGTTCCGCAGGCTGGCACTGTGGCCAAAAATGCCCTTTCACAGGCACACACAAAAGCACATAATTAAAACCGATGAAAGCGCAGGGAGAATAAGGATGGAGTGGAACCAAAATGAATGGGTTCATATTTTTGCAGTACATCCGAACTTGCTTGAATCAAGCTTATAGACCTGTTTTCAAGGGCAACCAAGCCGCTTTTCTTCTTTCTTTCTTCTCTTTCCTGAACTACAAAAAAATCAGCACCTTTTTTCTATATCCAAGGCATTCATGTTTTAATAGAAGTAATTTCAAGTAACAGCTCTCACAGCAGCCCAGGCAACAGTGACCGAGAGAAGGAGGAACACCCGGTGCCCAGCTGTCTGCCTGTGAAGCCGAATGACTGGACTAACTAATTTTGGGCACAGTCCTTTGCTTGCTGGGGAATGCTAGAAGTTGTCTAAACATGCATTGGATTGTCCTTTTTCTTATTCATGGAGTCAACTCTATTAGCCTATAAATGTTTATGCCAGAATAAATTTGTTAGTCTTTAAGGTACCACAAAATTCTTTGTTGTTTTTGTTCCCATAGAAAAACACAGTTACCCTGCTGGAAATTTTTAGAGAATGCACAGTCCCTAGACCTGCATATGAAATGAAATGCTGTTATAAGGTGATATATGCAGTTTGCACAGTTTGCTTTGCCATGCAGTTTTCAAATCAGAAAATTGTGCACAAAAGTGTTTTTGATGAGTGCATGCAAAAATGTATATGAAGAAAGTGAGCACAAAAACTCATAATAACATGAACTATTGTGTGCAGAAATGCATATGTTTGGGAAAGTATTATAAAAATGTCTACATTTGGGAAAGGGCAAACATGCATATTAGGAGAAATGCATATGAAAATACATGCTGATTTTTTCTGCAGAATTTTGAAAAATACCAGACATGGGATGGGATAAACTTAAAGTAGAAACATTTAGAACCTGATAATCCACCCTGATAGCTTTGTTCACTCCAAAGGTTGGTAAACATACTGATTCTCTGAACCTGGGTCTTTATTAATTGGCATGGCTAAAAGCCATTCAGAGTCCTTCCATTTATGTGTGTTTTGCATCCCTTCTTAAAGCCATCCAAGTGAGTGGGCTCTGCCACTTCTTGTGGCAAAGAGTTCCACAAATTAATTGCACATTGAACAAACTTGCCAAGCAGTTTCACTACCTGATCCTGAGTCCTAGGCCAGGAGGGACCAAGGGGAAAAAATTCTCTGTATCCAACTCTTCCTCATGATGGATTATTTTACAACCTATTTTAGGGCCAAACCCAAGTACAGTTGAGTGATATCTAATACAATTCTTGCTTAGAGTAGACTAATTGAAATTAACTGTACTTTATTTAGATTAGCATGGAACACAGCCCCAGGTTATGTTAAAGACATAACTAGCAACTGGGTGCTCGGTTTTTCTCTGTTCAACAGAAGCAGGGTGCTAGTGGTAGAGCCTGGATCAGGACCACCGTCAGGGAAAGGGTCCCATTTCCCCCCTCACCCAGTGTTGTGGTCTTGCTCCTGAAACTCTCTTTGTGGCCGCTGCTTTCCCGAGCAAAGCCAAGCGCTACCATAAAGTGGAACATAGAATAAAAACTGTAAGACGAATGGATGCCATTTTTAAGCAACTGCATGTCAGAAATCCTTGATGAGCCACCCCAGATCACCTCAACATATACAGTGGATCCACCCAGGGTCAGTGCTACATACCACAATGGTTTTGGGGATGGGTCCCACCAGACAAAAACAAACAAGCATGAGCTAATTTACATAAACCCAGCAATCTCTCTCTCTGTGTTTATCTGTGTCCTAAGGACACCCCTCTTTTCACCTCTTTGTACAAAAGAGATGTATAGATAGGATTGAGGAAGGCACTTGGTTTCAGAAAATGAAAAGCCCTCGGGCAAAAAGCAAGGGGTAAAGCACAGGTGGGCAAAAGCCAGCTAATCCAGGGGGATCGGATGCCCCAGAGACCCCTGGGGCCTCTGGGCCTCTCTTTCGGCAAAGGCCATGGGCAGCGGGGTGGTGGGACAGAGCTCTGGAGCTCCAAAGGAAAGAATCGGGACCTCTGCCCAGCAAATCATTCCTTAACACCACCTCTCTCTTCATGAATGGCCTAATTACGAAGTTGGGGCCAAGCAACCTGCCAAATATTGGGCTGCAGGAACATGAACTCCCCTTGGCCCTTGCACCCCCCACCCCACAATTAAGCATGCCATTGCTGTGACTCATCAAGGGTGGGGGAGGCAGGTTTGGGATTTGCATAGCGGAGTCTGAGGGTAAAATTTACTTGCTCTGCGCTGCTGTGTAGTTATAACCTGCCAGTAACAAGCAAATTGACCTGACTCCTTCACAAAGATCTCACAGGATGAATCACACACCAGTGAATATTACAAAGTGCATTGAGATGCCTACAGAGGCAATATATTATGATTTAATGGGGAGTTAAACCAGCGGAAGAAGCTGGGGCTGCAAGCTGACTTCAGGTTAAAATAGTTTATTTCGATTTAGGGCTGGCTCCAGTGAGCCTGGCCATGTAGAAAAGGGGGCGCAGAAGATCTCCTGTTTCAAACTGCTGGGCAGGAGGCAGCTGGGGGCTGGGAAGGGATCCATGGAGGGAGGGTGCCCCTGCACCTCTCAGGGTAGCCCAGAAAGGGAGGGAGGATGCCAGCAGGGGGTTCCTTCGCCACCACAAGCTGCAGGCACAGGCGAAGCCAAACTGGGCAGAACTCTGCTGTGCAGCCCACAGCTGGCCAGACTCGTAGACGTGGATATAGCGAGAGCCAGGCTGGGGTTGTGGCTCGAATGCAGGACTGGGACTCTAAAGACCTGGGTTCTAGTCCCCGTTTGGCTGTGAAGTTCACCAGGTGACTCTGGACAAGTCATGGCCCCTCAGAGTAACCTACCTCGTAGGGTTCTTATGAAGGTAAGATGGAGAGGATGAAGTCTATGTTAGCCACTTTGGGTTCCTTGCAGGAGGGAAAAGGGTAAGATAGAAATGTAATGTGAGGAGG